AAATTATTTTTTCCATGCCAATTGATGGGCCTGAGTATAATGCCAGTTATGCTCTTTGGCTGAAGTTATTTTTTATTTTATGCTCAATTGCAGACAAAACAATATTGATTGCACATTTCTAAAACAAAATTTTACCTCTATTCGTTCTAATAATAGCTCCTGCACCTAACACGGCGAAATAGATATTATTATCTATAAGACTATTTGCGGAAACAGTTTTTGTTAACAGTTGTGAGTGTAACATTTTATCAGCTGCTTTGTTTATAGTGCCTTGAGCAACACTTTGCCGGTTTCGGTACAGAAAATGATGCTGGCTTTGCAAATATGGATGGCCGCTACCATTGAATATAATACCCGCTATGTTACACTTATTTACATAGAAACTTTAATTATCATTTGCATTAAATTCTAAATAGCACTTTTTACACAAGAAAGTAAACTTTTAGATCAGTCCATCTTGTTTTTCTCTAATTAAGTGAAAAGTAAAACAAACCAATAGGTCCGTGATTTAAAATTTATTGCAACTTTTTATTAAAAAGCATGACCTTAACATAATATAGTCAATCATTTAGTGAATTATTTAGCCATGGGATAAAACTTTTAAGTGTACCAGTCAAACATTAATGATGATATTCGGGTCATTATACGGGAAATAGTCTTTTAAATATTTTTTAGTATAATTGACAATCTTCAGTATGATTGACCGTGTATATGACTTTTATAAGTCTATGTTATTTTTGATGAAAATTATTATTGCAGATAAAAGCCCTTTCACATTTATTTTAGTTCGAATTAAATTAATCCAAATGAAAATTAGAACTTTGGCACGTTATAACTGATCTTTAAATGTAAAACACTGACTTGAAATTATATAATTATTAGCAGTTTTTAATTCATTGAACTTTTTTAAGATTGTATTGGATCTCTAGTGGTAAAAAATAACAAATATATATATATTATAGTTCTTGATGAAAATAAAGTATGCGCGTTACATCGTATCCCATCAAGAATTTCTAATGTAATTCTTGGTGTAAAGCTAAGATGTGATAATAACTGTAAACAATAGAATAACAAAATAATGTAAACATTTGTAAATACTTGCTTTATAACCTAATAAACATTATTTGACCGTAATAAAATAAAACAAGGTAGTCTTCGGCATGAAAGTAAAAACGAAAATAAATAATAATCTATAATTTTTAAAACTTTGTTCATTTATCGATAAATGGTTGTTCCAACACTATGCAAAATATTAAATAAAAGTTCCTGGCGCTGGAGACACTCCACGTCAACTAAAGCGCGGCGGTGAAAAGGTTAAGTAATATGTGATAGGTACTGAGTATACATTCCAGTTCTACATTAGTAGTATATAAATTCCTTGGGCTAGGAACATCTCATGATGTCATATTTATTGTCATTTTTTTAATATTGAAAATGGAACATTTTATTAATAGGAAAGAAAAAAATTAAATAGCTTAAAATAGCTAAAGCATGCCCTATGATTTTTTTTTTGATTTAAAAAATTTGATCTCATCGTACAATCAATGCATTGTACTATATAACCTCATGATAAGTGTTTCTCGATTTTCACAAATTCTACATTTAAAGCTAATAAAGTCACAGGCAGAGTTCGTTAACTATATAAAAATGCGTACCTTCGTATCATTACTTTGGTGTGCCATACTGGTGGGTAGGTTTCTCTTATCACCGTCCGGTACTGCCTATTTAGATCCTTTCCGGTCAACGAACATCGATTGTTGCCCACAATTACCTACAATAATAGTAATAATAACACTTTTCGAATAATAATTTTTATGGAAAATTTAATAATTTTTATGGAAATTCGTGCTACAACTATACCAACTACTAATATAACTGCAGCATGGCTCTACCACGTAAGAAAAAATTGACGTTGAAAATTTAAGTATTTTCAGAAGCAACTTTGCAATTATTTTCTATTGAGTGAACTTTTGTGGAATCGTGTTTTACAAACCGCCACCTGAAATACGTACAATTTTTTTCGATAACGACGTGAAATTTCAAAACGATCCCCATGCATATCAATGTAGCTCCATTCAGCCTCTTAAAATGCACATACCTCGGGATTGAGAGATTTTAAAAGTTTTCATGCGTAGATAATGGAAGAAATAATATTATATTATTACTGTCCCGTGTGAGGTAACCTTTATACTTATATACATATTCTTATCATATTTTTATGGTTGGTTAGAAAAGTTATATCTAAATAAAACTTTCACAAGGTAATTTTTTTTTTACTATTTTTACCCAGCAAGTAGTAAAGCAACTACAATCCCATCGCTGGTTATGTAGCCTAAGATGGTGAATTGCACTGACTTAACAAAAACCTATTCACTCTTGACTAATACTCGTAGTACTAGGTAAGTATTATTTGCGACCCATTTGTGTGTGTGTGTGTGTGTGTGTGTGTGTGTGTGTGTGTGTGTGTGTTTGTGTGTGTATGTGTTAAGGAAAGCGTATAAGAATACGTGAAGAGGAATAAAGGTTGAGTACTACTTCGCTTACCTATACGACGTTGCCACTCGAGAACCTTTCTTCCTATTTTTTATCGGTTTTCCAAGTTATATGGTCAGCCAATTGCCATTTCACTTTAATATTCCGTTTAATGTCAGTTACTCTGGTTCAACTGCGAATATCTTCATTTCTAACTTTATCACGTAGAGAAACCTCTCTCCAATTTAAAATTTTTACATTTTTAGATGAGAGTTTGTGTAACATAAAAAAAAACCATGAACCCAAGAATGTCTTTATATAGTTATTTATACTTAGGGAAGCACCATTTTTATTATTTATTTAAATTGTTTGATTTAATTTGATAACAGTGTACCTAAATGTAAGTATCTGTATCTTTATTTCCCTCCCCAACAATATTTTATAAAGTCATACTCATAAAAACAACGTTTTATTGTAATACATAATTATGAAATTCAGTATCAACTAATTAATGAAAATATGCAACAATAAAATTACATAGGAATTAAAAACTATCGAAATCTATGTAACGAGAGCATGTTCGTCGTTCCACATCTAAATTATATAAATTTGCATTTTTCAATTTCACTAACAAACGTCGCCGCGAAAATTTCTTCTTCTTTGGGCACTTTAAAAATTCGTTTATTTAGAAAATAATATTTACAGTTACCAGTGTACAGATATTAACTAAATTAAGTATTTCTAGGCATAAAAATATTTATAATTGAGTATAAACTTATAAAAAACTAATATATATTTGAAAGAAGTCGCTCCAACACCGACGTGCGGTCCACCCTCGACGATGTCCGAAAACGGACTGTGACAGTGCTTACATGGCGACGGAGCATGCGCGCTCGCGTAAATGTATTCAATTTCAGGGAAAAATGATATATTCTCTTATAAAACGGGTAATAAAAATAAAACTCTCAATTAAAAATATTAATATTTTTAAGACCTTTTTTTTAGTGTAAGAACTATTTAAAAAGCTTGTGCCGTTTTGGAGAAATTTTGCAAAATATGACAAAGATAGGTACTCTTTGGGGATTTTTTTTCTAATAAGGGGTTGACAAAAATACAATTTTGTTAAATTAAAAACAATTTTTGTGGATCTTGAGAAAGCATTTGATAAGGTTGTAAGGAAGAAAATGTGGGAACTGTTGCCGGGGTATGGTGTGGATGGTCGATTGCTAAGGGCTGTGCAGTCTCTTTACTGTGACTGTAAAGCCTGTGTGCGGGTAGGACATGACCTGTCACCCATGTTTAACGTCCAAACGGGCGTAAAGCAGGGTTGTGTCATGTCTTCCTGGCTGTTCATACTGTATCTCGACAGCTGTTTACAGAAGCTGAAAGATAGTTGTTTGGGTGTATAATAAAACACTCTCCGATTACTGCTTACACTTTTATTCGCCCTGAGATTATACACGTATTTCGTCTTAATCTATGTTACGTCAAAAACCCAACCGTCTCCTACGACTGTCTCCCACTTCATGCCCCTTTGCTTCGTGCAACTGCCCACATCCCCTCTCTTACTGTAGTGTTGTGCCATTCTAATTAAGTTAATTTACCAATAAAATGTCAATTGCTTAAACAGAAACTATACTCTTAGAAAATTAATTAAGTGAAAACCTAACATTCGTCCATCCTGACTTCGTGCATGTCCTCATGCACGGTTGAAAAGAAACCTAACATTCGGTCAGATGCACGAGGCCTACAGATAATTTCACAGTATTAAAACAATAAGATAAAACTTACATTAGGTACATATTATTATTTCTTACTAATTAGCTTAATCAATACAATCGGACATTGCTATAATCTTATGGTACATTCAGAATATAAGTTTAACAATAGCTTTTGGTATGTACTTAATATATTGCTCTTTGGACCCATCAATTCCCATTGAGCAAGTAAAACATAACTTCGCAGTTTTTTTTTTGTTAATCCATTACAATTTTCAAATGAGTCCCATTAGTAAATCCATCCATTCTTACGAACGGGACACATTTGACAAGCGAACACAGTGCAGAACACTTCACTTGCCCGGTTACAAACCCATCCATTCTCATAACAGGCAAAAGTAAAACGATAAACTGTGAACCCATCCATTCTCACAGATATCTATGCTCAACACCTATGTCGCTAGATCTTAATCATTAGAATCCTTGTCCATCCATTCTCATAACCGGCACAAGTAAAACGATAAACTGTGAACCCATCCATTCTCACAGATATCTATGCTCAACATGTTGCTAGATCTTAACCATAACAATATTTTGCTATTCATCTATCCATCTATATGTACGTCATAACACAACATATTTTGTAACAAAATATTTACCATGAATTAAAGAAACTTAGAAGAAAACAGGTAAAAAAAAATATTGATAATAATATTGTTCACAACTGGTCCATTTACGACATTTTTGATGTAATTTTACAAACTAAAATAACAATTTAAAATAAACATATAAAATAATTGCTTGGTTTTATTACTTATCACTACTACTATCCTCATTACTATCATCATTAGACGTATCGGATTCATTAACCTCTAAAGCAGCAACATTGACCCAAGGCGACATTCGGTCGGCGGCTACAGTTGTTTGTCGTTTGTTCTTGGTACCCGTTAGTCCCGGAATAGCCGCAACCCTATATCTATCATTTCCCAATACTGATATTACTCGATATGGCCCTATGTATGAAGGAAGAAGTTTCCTACTTTTCCCTTCATTTGTAAAAGCTATTTTCGTTATTTTAACTAACTCACCTTCGGCATAAACCTTGGCGGGACGTCGTCCTCTATTGAATCTCAGCTTTTGTTTCTCTTGTTGAGTATCAATAGAGTCCTTAACGTTTTTACGAATGGTGGCTAGATCGTTTATTTCTCGAGTTTCTTGACAAACTATATTAAACTTTGGATTTGCCTCCGAATTTATACCTATACCAAACATAATTTCGGCCGGTGTTCTGCCAGTGGTTTTCTGATACGTATTGTTTAATCCCCACTGTACTCTTCCAATCGTATTATCCCACTCTTTTTCTTCACAATTTAAATTCTGTGCTGTTAATGAGTTAAGGATAGTACGGTTGTATCTTTCAACCTGACCGTTCAATCTGGGACAAGCTACAGCATTTAGAACGTGTCTTATGCCTTTATCTAGACAAAACCGTTTGAAAGTGTGTGATGTGAAACATGTTCCTCTGTCACTTATAATGCGATCGGGAATGCGGAAAGTATAAAAAATATCCTCAAGAGCCCTAATTGCGTTTTGAGTTTTTGTGTTACGTACCGGCCTAGCAAATAGAAATTTAGTGAAGCCATCGACAATAACCAAAAGATGAGTATTACCGCGTTTTGACTTAACAAAGGGTCCCAGGTGGTCTATATGCAGCGTGTGAAATGGAACTTCGACCTTTTCAATCGGATATAAGTAGCCTTCTTTTGTAGAATTATTTTTCTTAGCATAGGCACATTCTATACATGCATTTACATACTTCTTAACGAATCTTGACATTTTCGAAAACCAATATGATTTCTTTATACGTTCCAATGTCTTTTCAACACCAAAGTGCCCTATGTCGTCATGATTCATGCGACAAAGTTGCCACCTTGCACCCTTTGGAACTACCCAACGAATATTTTTAACGTCCCCATCTAGATATCGGTATAATTTGTTGTCTTTTATTAAATAATTGTCTTTAATATATTTAAGCACTTCCACATCTACATCTGAAGAAAGAACATTCCGAATCCTGCATAACTCTGTGTCGCCTAATTGTAACGTGTGTAACCAATCTTCGTTGCTTATAGTCATGACCGATGGGTAATGCACCAAAACTTCTGAATTTTCGTTGTCTGATATAGGGTTGCGTGACAGGGCGTCTACATGAGTCATTCTTGTACCAGGGCGATATTCGACTGTGCACTGAAACTCTTGTATAAGAAGCCACCATCGTGCAACCCTAGGAAGAATATCTCGCTTTGAAAATGTAGAGCGAAGAGCATTGCAATCTGATATTATTTTGAATTTTAGGCCTAATAGGTATACCCTAAACTTCTTTAATGAGCAGACAACAGCCAGCGCTTCTAACTCGTAAGCATGGAAATGTTTTTCTTCAGGCGAAGTCTTCCGGCTATAATAAGCCACTAGCCTAAGAGTATGACTACTGCATGAGCTTTGAAATAACACACCTCCAACAGCTAACTTACAAGCGTCAGTATGTAACTCCGTTTCTGATGTCGGGTCATAGATAGCTAGGATAGGTCTATCCGTTAGTTTGTCTTTTAAACTTTTAAAAGCTTCCTCTTGCTCATAGGTCCAAGTCCATCGTGCGTTTTTAGTCAATAATTTTGTTAATGGATTGGCTAGAATAGCGAAGTTCCTAATAAATTTACGGAAGTAACCCACAAGACCAAGAAACTGCCGCACAGTATGTTGATCAATGGGGCAGGGAAAATCAAGCACGCACCGAATCTTTTTATTACCCGGCCGTACTCCAGCAGCGCTTATTTCATAGCCCAAGTAATCTATTTTGTCCATTAAAAATTCACATTTTGCCAGATTAAGGGTCAAGTTTGCCCCTTCTAATAATTGTAGCACATTTTCTAATCTCATTAGACATTCTTCAACATCCCTACCATATATCAACACGTCATCTATATACGCTGTTGCTCCTTCTGCTCGTGTTGGACTAACAACTCGATTCATCATGCGTTGAAACACGGCCGGAGCGTTCGCCAAACCGAATGGCATGCGGTTGAACTCATACTGACCGTCTGGTGTAACAATCGAAGTTAGTGGGCGGGATTCTTTTGATATTGTGGTGAGTTTAAATTACTGCTTGTCCAAACATTACACTATTAGGGACTTGATAATATCCTGATGTTAAATCTAGGGTTACAAAATAGGCTTGTCCAGACAATCTCGCGATTTCATCCTCAATATTAGGCATAGGATAACGCTCCTTTACTGTCACTGAATTTAACATCCTGTAATCTATGCCCATTCTCATTTTTCCATCTCTTTTTCGGACTAAAATGATAGGACTTGAATACTCTGATATTGATTCACTTATTATTCCGGCATCTAGCATTTCACTGATCATCTCTCTCACATCTTCTCGCTCTTTGTGCGATAATCTATAGGGTCGATAAGCAATCGGTTTTTTACTGTTTAATTCGATGGTCATTTCGGTAACATTTGTGCACCCTAGTTCCTTTAAAGAAGATGCAAAGCAATGTTGGTACTTGTAAAGCTAAAAGTTTTTGTCGGTGAATTTGATCAATATTATCTCCTATTCTCACTTCTTCCTTATCAATACTAGTTTGTCGTTTAATTTGTTTTTGGAAAGAGGCAATTTGATTAATTGTCTTGACTTCTAAACCACGACTGATGGTCATTCCTTGCTTAATGTAACTATGGACTAATAAAGGGGAGATGATCACGTTTAAAATTCTATTCTTGACAGAGTATACCCCTCCCGATATAACAAATTGTTCTGTAGGCTTTCCAATAATCTTACTGTTTATCATAATATTGCTACCAACGTCTGAATCTACAAATACCCTAATGCTTGCCGCTCCATAAATATGAAAATTGGCGGAAGCTACAACCTTGACGGCGGTTTTGTTTTGTAAATCGATCTCCGAAAAAGGCATTTCCCGATTAGTATCAAAGAAGCTAAGCTTATCTGCAGTCTTATAAACAGTGACATGCGACTGTTCAGTAAACGACTGTCCTATTAGGAATGGTAATTCTAAATATTGATCATCAACAACATGACATGCAACCATAGCGTTTACTCCATCAACAGACAAGTTTACGGTAACACTCCCAAGAGTGCGCACTACATCGTTTCCAAAACCTTTCAATAACGTAGATTCACTATCAGGAACCAGTCCCAAACAGGAAGCATTTGATTTCCTTATTAACGACACGTCGCTTCCGAAATCCACAAATCCCCTTTCAGGAGAGTAATTTACAAAAATGTCTTTATAAAACTTAGAACTTGGGTTTGAGTTTGATATACGCAAGGTTTTATGAACAGAGGGCCTACTCTCTTTCTCCGAAACGAAACTTCGTTAACGAACGAAATTTAAACGAAGTTTCGTGTCTGACCCTACTCTATATCATTTTCGGACGCGCACGCAAAGTTCGAGTCCAAAGACAATTTTCGTGAACGAATGGAACGAACAATGTTATGTATTTTACGAATTTATTAAAATAATCGTGGTTTTTTATGCATATTATTCCAAAAAATCTTACACAAGCAATAAATATACAAGTTTTCGAAGAAAATCACAGTGACACTAAAATAACCCTTTCAATGACCGTTAACCGACTAAGTTAAGGTGTACAATAATAACAAACGGTGTTTATAGTATCGTATAACAACCAAACTTATCCGTATTATCACAATGCTGTCAGTCATCACTTGTGGATTTTTTGTTTGCATTCTTTGAAAGTTTGAATAGTTTTAAGTTTGTTTCTCAAGCTCAAGTGTAAGACGTAGGTAGAGATTCTTTCCTGTGTGCTCAAGTGAAGAGTTATTAATATGTTTTGTTTTTTTCTTTGCCTACTTTGTAAACGCGATACACATTCCCTGACAAAGTTTCAATTTCAAGTCGCAGTCTTCATATGGGCGTCCTTTGGTCCACAAAGACTTCTATTTGGTTTTATATTCAGAAAGAGTGTAAGTAATGTTAATTGTTTTTCACTTATAATACTTCCATAACATATTTTTTTGTAATAATAGGTACCTATAATTTATTTTCATCTCATCTTTCAGTGTAAAATAATGGCTCCACATACGGGTTCGGCTACTCCTGAACAAATTGATGCACTCCTCAATTTCCTGGACGAGCATAGGGATCTTGCTCGCGGGAGATTGAGGAGTCTAGAAGGAAAAGTCCAGGCGAAGAGGCTGTGGGATGAATTGTGCAATACGCTCAATTCCATGGGCGGTTGCATAAAGACAGTTCAGCAGTGGCAGAAGGTAATTCGTAGTAATATAATTAAATGCTTAAGCTATTTATCAGTGAAAAGTGAGTGACAAAGATTTAATATTTACTTTTATTTTGGATAGGTATGGTTTGATAGAAAACATCTGGCCAAAAAAGCCGCTGCTGATTCCCGGAGGTCGGCTTCAATGACTGGAGGTGGTCCATCAGTGGCACCCCAACTCTCCCATTCGGAATTAAAAGTCTTATCCATAATGGGAGATGGGTTCGGTGACCGCCAAATTGGAGCCAGAGTGCCAGCTTTCACTGAAGTAAGTACCTCATCATTCTTTGGTTTCCCTATTTCTAAACTTTGATATGTTCAAATATTTATCTTAATGATATATGATTTTTATTTACAAAATTATTTTTCTATGTGAGTATGCTACTTTTTTTAACCCATCAGGTAAAAATACAATACAATTTGTATTGTGGTAGACATTAAAAATTAATACTTCACTTAAACATTAAGCATTCAATCTTTTATATTCATTTCAGACGAATGAATCCAGACCATCAACCTACAGTCAAGGAAGCCAACTGCAGCAGCAGAGCCTGGACTTGCATGTAGAAGTTCAGGAGTACGCCGACCCAAGCAAAGAAAGCCAGCAGATCTACTCTAATTCAACGAAAAACGAAATTTCGATCGAAATTGATACACAAGAAGGTATGTATGGATGTATTTGATACATGAAGGTCTTACCACTAAACTACAGTCGAGATTAAAATTACAAGAAAAATATTGTTTGTCACAAAAAATATACTTATTGATTAAGTATTTACTGCAATGTAACATATTGGAATGTTGTTTTGCAGCCTCACAATCTGCACGTCCCAGAAGAATACGATCTGCTGCTGGCTCCGATGTCAGAAGTAGGTTGTACCAGTATGAAGATGGACGTGCAGAGAGAGAGACAGTGAGGAACACCGAGCTCGCAGGCATCAGGGCTGCCTTGGAAGAGTTGCGTGACATAGGGCGAGATTATTTAGAGTTTTTAAGGCAAAATAGGCGTTAGGTTTTAAATAAATTTATTTTTGAATACTATTGTTTCTTTTTACTATTTTTGAGACTATTTGTACTTTCAGATTAAGAAAGCTAAAATAAGAACTTTATTATTACTGAGAGTTGATTATCATGACCATAATTCGATATAATATAAAGATACTGTTAAGTATTTAAAATCATAGAAGTTATTATTTTCTCTGTATGTGACAAAATATCTGCAATGTCATAGGTAAGGATTAAGTAAATATTTGTTGCCATTTTATGAACATCTAGGTAGGTAGGATAACGATAAGTAGGTGAAAAAATAAAACAGAACTAATTTTATGCCTAAAAATATTTTAATCTAGGCTGTTACAAGCACTTGTGAATGTCAAAGAAGCTACGCCATCGGTTCTCAAACCCTAAGCGGGAGACCTTGTAACGAGAAGAACCGGCAAGAAACTCGTTAAGGGCTGATTTTTTTCTCCTTGTATATTTCATACAGAGTCATCAAATTTGTAAAATGACCTTTAAGGTAATGTAATTTTACATCACAAAAATTAACAAAAGTTTACATACAATGGGCAGGTATTGAAATTAATTATCTACACATCGGAAAGGTAAGAGCAAATAACTTTCAACTAGTTGAGAAATCACTGTCTACTAGGTACCTACTCGAAAATTCATACCTAAATAGATAATGTTGTACAATATGCAATATTAACTAAATTCATTAGACATAAAAGTTAACATTAAAAAAAACGCATTGCTTACAATTATAACAAGATAAGAAGTGTATGTTTTATTTATATTTTATATTTCAGTAATATTAATTCCTAACCCTATAATATTATAAATGAGAAAGTATGGATTTTGATTGTTACTTAATCACAAATAAACGGCTTAAATGTGGCTGATATGATGATGATGATGATTATCTCCTAAAACAAAAAAAAGTTTTTAATTGAGTTTATTTTAATCTACTTGCACAATTGTTTGGTTTGAGTTTATCTTACCGGTTCCTTTCTAACATTTGTATTAATGAATTCCTTGCCCTTCGACCTGCCTGTAGAGCTTGAGTAGAAGATGCGGCTGTTTCAAAGGGAACCTGCCTGGTTCTCTCCGATTGGTGTTCCTCTTCAGTCAACTCGGGACCTTCAATACCAGCCCTTATACACATGTTGTGTAAAACACAGCAGGCTAATATAATTTTACCTGCTGTTTCTGGGCAGTAATGGAGTTCCCTAGCTGCCAAAAGACATCTCCATCGACCCTTCAATACACCAAATGTGCGTTCTATGGTGCAGCGTAGACGTTTTTGGAGGTAATTGTACCTTCCCTCTGGAGAGTTCTCAACAGCATTATCTACAGGTGTCATCATATGCTCCCTTAGAGCATAACCAGAATCACCTAAAAATTTAAAAATATAATATTAGTGTAAATTGCATCATCACATTACTTACACATAATGAATATCAAAACTATAAATCAAGACATGCCTAATAGATAAACTGTTTCATCCTGGAGACCCTCCAAGTGGTTTCTTATCTCACATTCCCTCCAAATATAAGCGTCGTGAGTTGCTCCACCATATGAAGCATCAACATTTGTAATTAATAAATCACTGTCACATATCTGAAAAAGAATTTCCATCAATGTAACATAGGATAAAATGTAAGTAATAAAATAGTGAATGTCATAATAAAAACATTAAAATATTGTACATAAACTTACAACTTGAGTATTAATCGAATGAAAATGTTTTCGATTAAAATATCGTTCCTCGTGCTCCGAAGGCCTCACTATGGCTACATGTGAACAATCGATGCACCCCACCACAGCGGGTAGCCCATATTTATCATAAAATCTACAATAAGGATACAATATTATTATAGAATAGTAAATTGTACAATAAAATTATATTTGTTTTTGCATGACTTATTTGCCTAGTCTTGGCACACTTTTTATGTAAATTGTTCATTTAAAATAACAGAATAATATTTTAATTACTAGGTATTTCACATGTTAATAAGTTTAACGGTCAATACTAGATAGGAAGGTAAGTACTTACTTCTGCTTAATAAGATTCCTTTCATTCCTATTTTGTGGGAATCTTATGTGCTTCCTTAGTATGTGGGGTGCATTAAGTGCAGTTGTTACCTCTTGTAAACAACGGGACACTGTCTGTTGTGCCATGGGCCCATCCATATTTTGTCCCACTGACCCCTGGTAACTTCCTCGGGCATAAAAGTTCAAAGCAGTAAGTATCTGAAATACATTAACACAGATTGAGGCTTATGAACAGTAAAATGAAAAATTAAAGAGAAGGGAGTGTTTAAACAATTTAAACTTACTTTAAGTGTGGGCTCGATTCCATGTCGTCTTCCCTTTGGAGGCAATAAAGGCACTATGTCCTGGCACAACTCCTCGAATAATTCCCGACTGAGTCTGTAATTTCCGACAAACTCTAGATCGGGAATATTTGAAATATTTAATTGATTACGCAGGCGGCGCCGGTTCCTTCTACGCTCCAATCGTTCTTCACGTAAAGCAGCCGCGATTAAAAGCTGTCTCGTAGCCATTTTAGTTAAATTTTTAACAAAATCGACCAAAACGAAAATAAAAAGTTAACACTTTTGGTTTCGTCAATTTGAGGTTAAAATTACGAACAAGTATCTGTCAAACTTCAATTTTCGTTCGTAACTTTAGTGCAATAGAGTAGGCTTAGAGAATTTAAACGTCAAACTAATTTCGTTTCAACGAAGTTTCGAATCGAATGGAACCATGGTAGGAATTGAGCGAAATTTCGATCGAAATTTCGTTTTTCGTTGAATTAGAGTAGACCTCCAGGGCCGCTCATACCGTCATTAATGACAGCGAAACAATTTTCTGTTTTATGCCCCATTTTATTGCATTTACCGCACTTTATAATAGGTTTGGGGCATTTTAAGAATGGATGACCCTTTTCCTTACAGTTATAACAATATATATTATTATTGTGGACAAGGTTATTTTTATTTGCTAATCTTTTATTATTATTAACGCTAATAACATTTGTATTTATGCCAGACCTAAATTTATTGTAAGTTCGTTCAAAAGATTGATTGAGTTCTTTATTACTCATTAAAAATTTGAGCAACTGTTCCGGATGTAAACAACGTAATGTGGTAGCGCTTGATTTCATAGTTTTGTCTGTTAAGCCGTGTATAATGCAATCGACCGCGCGCTTTCCTTCAATGTCGCATTGGTTCAAAAGTGCAAATTTCTCATAATAATACACTTCAATAGGTTCGTTAAACTTGCTCTTTCGTTTCAACATATCTTCCAGAGCTTGGCCATAGTTATATTCATATGGAAAAGCATTTATTAACCTATCTTGCCACTCATTCCAATTAAAAAGAATTGAAGGTAAACTCTCGTACCAGGTCTTGGCCAAACCCTGGAGCTTTTGCATGGCGTAATGGATTGTTGTTTTGTCGTCCCAGCCGTAGACTGTTGCACACTCATTTACTTTCTTTAACCACATATCTATTCGTTGATTTTTCGACGATGGATCAAAATCAGGTAAAATATTTTTATAGCTACTTGAATTAATAGAAGCAACTGTGGTTGACGTCGACGGCTGTGACTGTAAGTGTTTAAGTGATTTAAGAATATTAGCTACATCTTTAGTTGAGAACGAGGGACTGGAAGATCGTTGGCCATGTTCTAGAATTCGCCTTCTTTTGGGGCGATCATCCACCCCTTGGTCAAGCGCCCTACTTCTAGATCGAACATTACGCCCAGTGGTTATATCACGCCCAGAAATATAGGAATCATGACGTTCGAAATCGCGATTTTTACTCACACTGCGTAGCCTCCTACTGCGTTCCATAATCACGTCATTCTGGAGATTGTGTAGCCGCTCCCGTTCGCGAGCCAGCTCTCGTTCTGCTACTCGGAGTCGCTCACGTTCGTTAAGACTCCTAATACTGTCACAGCGGGTGCGGCTACGACTGCTTCTGGTTCTATCATCAGCCCTTCGTCGTCGGGACTCCCCACGATCTGGAGTCTCCAGACGTCGAGGCTGTGATTTATGTTCCCTCTGCATTTTTTTCTGCAACTCAGAAACAAAAGCAACTATGAATACATTCAACGACTTGAAACTTTTGTTAAGTAGGTATCTCGAAAGCGGCCTATGTTATCTAAAAAATAACAAATATTTTTAGAACCCCTTGTATTCCAGCACCACAGCGGTGTCTAGCATTGGGTGGTCTTCCTTGGTTTGACATACCACGTTAGGTAGCGCCATACTCACACTTGATCTACACTTAATACTTTAATTAATAAGTTACCATAAGAAGAAGTACAATAATGTCCTCTTTGTTTAACTACCACTGGTTCGAAATAAAACCTCTGGCCTGGGAAGAACCAGCAAGAAACCCAGCGGGACTCTTTTTTTTTTATATCATCTTACAATCATGGATGGTACACAATTAATCACAGAAAACAAATTAGAAATAGCTTGGTAGCGTATCGCAACCTAATATGCCCAGATTTATATAGATATATAAATCTTTGATAATATGCACATCTGAGTAGAATGTGCATCATATATATCATATATAAGGAGAACCCAATAATTACCGAGATAAGTAAAACAAAAGAACAAGTAATATGTAACATAATTTAAAACCTGCTAACAAAACGGCTTTGTCGCACGGCATTTGTTTAAAACATTTATTTATTCACGACTGTTCGCTTATGTTATAAAAGGGTTTAAGTTACAGTTCTATAAAAAGCCGATAAGATTGTCTATAAGTAGAAACAATAACAATAACATTTGGAGGTTTGTTTAGTTTTGTACAGCTCTTTGTTTCTAAGGGATCTTGAGAAACTGTATTTACTGCCAATTAATTTGGTTGTAGGAATGAAAAAGCGTAATTTTTAATTATATTTTTATGTCATCATAATCTGTATAACATGCTCTTCCTAAAATGAACCGAAATGATACATGTAATCATTAAAATAATTCAACTTTTTCACCATTGAAATAATATGTAGTAACATATTATCTCAATGTTTTTCACAAACTTTTTTTTTTTAAAAGTACTACAATAGACAGTTTGCGCGAGTCTCCTTGTAACCTTAATTTCAAAACCTTTTTGTGAAAATATTACAGCGTCATCCTTATTTTTTTATACAATCATATAGATATAAAATTTTGGAATAATATGACTTTATGAATATACACACAATAAACTATCTATCAAAGGCTTTAGATCTATTTGAAATCATGACCGTTATAAATGTTTAAAGTAAAACTTTTTTTTTTCCATTAGACATACTTATTTACAGGTATAATAAAACAAACAGGTACTTACCACTTCTAAAGTATAATAAAACACTCTCCGATTACTGCTTACACTTTTATTCGCCCTGAGATTATACACGTATTTTGTCTTAATCTATGTTACGTCAAAAACCCAACCGTCTCCTACGACTGTCTCCCACTTCATGCCCCTTTGCTTCGTGCAACTGCCCACATCCCCTCTCTTACTGTAGTGTTGTGCCATTCTAATTAAGTTAATTTACCAATAACATGTCAATTGCTTAAACAGAAACTATACTCTTAGAAAATTAATTAAGTGAAAAACTAACAGGTGTGAAATTGGGTGATATTAAAGTAAATTGTCTGCTGTATGCTGATGATGCAGTGCTTATTGCACCATCAGAGGCAGAACTGCAGGCATTAGTCACGTGTATGTAAGAGGAATGTGAAATTAAAGGTCTCCGTTTGAATGCTAATAAAACTAAGGTTCTGGTATTTGAAAGGGACGAAGAGAGAACGAAGTGTGAAATATGGGTAAATCAGGAATGTCTAGAACAGGTAAATGAAATTGTATACTTGGGGAGTACTTTTAGCCGGGATGGAAGATGTGATTTAGATGTGGACAGGCGTGTCGCTGCCGGGAACAAAGTCAATGGTGCCCTGACTGCGTTAGTCAAAAGGCAAGGCGTAGCGAAGAGTGCACGCCTTGCAATACATAACGCAGTGTTGGTACCGACTTTGTTATATGGCAGCGAAACCTGGGTATGCCAGAAGAAGCATAAAAGTAAGTTGAATGCAGTGGAGATGCGATCTCTTCGTAAAATGTGCGGCGTTACCATGGCCGACCGAAAGCGAAACGTAGAGATTCGCAATATGGCAGGTTTGAAAGATGACCTTATCACAAAAATTGATAAGGGCGTGCTTCGGTGGTTTGGGCACGTTGAGCGAATGAGTGAAGACCGAATGGTGAAGAAAATATATAGCGCGAAAGTTAATATTAAAAGGTGTCGAGGTAGACCGAGACTAACTTTCGAAGACCATGTGAGCAAATTGCTCGAAGAGGGTAGGGTCAAAATTACTCGGATACCTAGACGTGCATGCATGAAGAAGATAATGAATCTGAAAGAAGCGAAAGAGGTTTGTAAGGATCGTGACACTTGGCGATCTGTTCTCTCTGGCTACCCCGTCAGGGATTGTGCGTGAAGATAAGTTTAAGTTTAAGTAAAAACATTTACCAAATCCTCTTCTGTTACCCTGTATTTTTTCTTTGTGGATTAAATGAACAGTTATTGAGATTTTTTACTTAATTATCCTAGATTTAGGCATTTCAATCACTGTTAAGGCCTTAAGCTGAAAGTAAAATTGTGAAAGTGTCGTCTACGTAATGCTTGTAGCTTCTTGGATTTACAGGAGCATTAAGAAGGGCTTTTTTCTTAAAGTCCTCCATGAATATATCGGCTAAAAACGTCAGGAATTAAAAAAAATTAAACGCGACAAACTCTGTAAAAATAGTCTCATCTAATGTGTAGTGTTCGCGTAAATATAAGAAATTATTAAGGAATTGTTGTTTCGTTTACTTTTGTTAAATAATATACCTAAAAGGAACTGAGGTAGCTAATTAGCGAAACATTCACCGTAAATTTCATATTAAGCGAGCAACCCGGGTTCGATCTAAACCGGCAGCGCTGAAATTATTAATTGCAATTTAAAATCCCAAATAACCACGTGCTTGACAGTGAAGGAAAACAAAATAACAAAACCAGCATATCGGTGAAATAAAATATATGCTTGCTACATGTGAAGTTTATCAACAGTACTGGAGCAGGGCGGTACATTATTGCTTTAGGAATCCGCGCATAAATGTAAGGAGGCTTGTTTCCAGCTACGGTACATACATAATTAGGTTGTTTCCTATCTGTTGTAATACATCCAAAACTATCAATAACTTTTATTTACTATTCTAAGCCGATGCTTGTCATCTATCCCACTTGATGTTTATACAGACAAATACGGTAAAGTACGCTGTATGAAAAACTACAAAGCAAACCATTTGTTTCGAATGCGTTGTAATTCGACAATTAAAGGGAGGAAACTGGTCAAGCTTCTCTGGTATTAGTGATTCAGAAATGAATTTATATTACAATTAATATAGTTTACATAATATTTCATAAACAATATTTAGAACAATAAAAGATAAAAATTAAAATTACTTTGATGTAGCGCTCATGATCTTTTTCCTATAGATATAACGTAAACTGCGTTTTCTCACTGAATTGCTATACTTAGCTTCTGGACCTGATCTTCTTTATCGTCATATTTTATTATATATTTTTTTGTAGGATTAGGGTGACAAACGAGCACACAGTCCACATAATGGTAAGTGGTTGCTGTGGCCCATAGACATCTACATCTATCTTCGATTACGATTCAAAATGCAGATGCGTTGACACCCGTGAGGATTAAGATGGAATGCCTCGTTTCCCGTGAAAAGGGGTCTCCGGTTCTTTACATTCATCATATGAAACACAACAGCGTTAAGCTGCTATTTTACGCTGGTATTCTGTGAGAGCGTTGTCCTTCCCCGGTTGAGCCGACCCATTCGTGCTACAACTATACCAGTAATATAGCTGCAGCATGACTACCACGTACGAAATATTATATATTATATATAAAATATAATACTTACATAATATGCAAACTTATATAATATTGTAGGTTTATACACTATACAAAAAAAGGTATATGCTGAAATTGTAATACGAGGTTGAGTATTGACTTTGTATTTTACGCAAACTACGATATTGTTTTAACGTCTATGTATGTAATATGTAAAATTTATTCCTTTTTAAATGCATAGAGGAACCTGTTATCAGCTAACATATTATAAAATAAGTTATCATAATCATAACCTAATTATTGACAACGCTGTGGTTTTTTTAGTAAATAAAATAAAATGCTATGTTTGTCATTAAGGTAACTTTGAGAGCTCAAGTATCAACGCCTTATGTACCGTAACTGACTTGAGAAATAGCTGTAACTTGAATTAAAAATTGAAGTATTAAATTACTAATTTCTATTAGAATTAAATAGAAATTTTTAATTGGAAGACTTTATATGTGGTAGAAGATCTTTTTATCCAATCTTAACATTCCAGTATCTTAGATAGGCTAATGTGATAAATAATATAGCTCAGGCAATAAAAGAGTAAACAATACCAACTAAAACATAAATTTGAAGAGTTTGGTAAGTTCGGCACTCTCAGATTCTAACTTTTTAATTGATGTAACAGATAATTCCTAACGTCGTTTCTAACTTGGCCCCCCTTATACATTTATGTTTTATTGGGATATCATAAAGAACAATGGCCATTTTGGACAAGGCAGAAACATACATTGTTACCGATGAGTGAATGAGACTGTCACCAAAATTTCATATTAAATTCTAGACAATGTTAACCGTATAAACTTATGTTAACTATTAAACTATGATAACTATTTATTTTAAAATGCTACAAATTAATTATATACTTCATAACCTCATAAAACATGTTTCATAATAACTATATTCTCCGTACTTTAAAGAATATACTGAAGGCTGTACTTCGTTATATTTAAATAGACAAATGAAACGACATATCATGTTTCATCATGTTAGATTTTACTAGTTTAAGATTGTTAGGAGGGTGGCCACTGTTCCTTTAAATACAAATAATTATTCATTTATCAATATAAATGAAAATATGACCACCAAAGCATTTATTTCTTGCGTTTAAGCTGCAC